TGTCTGTCTGTCTGTCTGTCTGTCTGTCTCTCTCTGTGTGTGTGTGTGTGCCAGTGGTGGGGTTCAAAAAATTTTGGAACCTCTTCTGTAGGTGTGGCCTGCTTTCCGGGTCCACTGGTGGAACCTCTTCTAACCGGTTCGGGAGATTTGACGAACCGGTTCTACCGAACTGGTGCGAACTGGTAGAAACCCACCTCTGAAACAATGGTGCCTTGGAATATCTGCAAGAAATAGCATTTACCTCCAAGGAAGGGTTGGGGGACCATAGAGTAGAGTTGCAATAAAGCAGTGTAAAATCATGAACGGTAACAGAATTGAAGAATCAATTGGTCAAACCATCAGAAGCCATTAGGACAGTGTTTCTCAACACTGTTGAATGCTGGCTGGGGAATTCTGGGAGTTGAAGTCCGGACATCTTCAAGTGGCCAAGGTTGAGTAACACTGCATTAGGATGAACCATACAAGTATTTACCGTTAGATGACATCAAGCATGGATAAGTTAAAGACAAAATGGAATGGTGGAAAAAAGCCATCAACACATGGGTCATCCCTGTGATACATTATACTGCTGGAATTATTAACTGGTCATAACTGGTCAGTTTGGGCTGGAAAACAAGAAAACTGATGACTATTTGCTATGCACTACATCCTCAAAGTGATATTGATTATACAAACTGATTATAAACAATGACATAGCACAGTTGTCAAAATGATTCACTGGAATATCTTTAAAAAATAACATATAAATTAATGGGGAAAAAATGGTAGGAATAAAGAGTCGAAAATAAGCAGGTTTGACATATTGTGGAATTTCTGAATACAGACTGATGAAGTCTTGACTCATAACATACCAGATACAACTGGTTGAAAAGAAGAAAGTGTGTATAATTGATGTGTAATACCAGAGAATAAAAGAAGAAAGGACAAAAAATTGGAGAAGATCACAACGCATCAAGATCACAACGCATCGTCCCAACATTGTGCCATAAAACTGGCTGTGGTGGTCCCTGTGGTTATTGGCACATTGGGTGCCATACTCAAAGATCTTGGAGAACACTTGTATCTATGCATTGACAAAATTTCCATCAATTGCAAAATATCACATTGCTTGGATCCACAAGTATACTGTGCTGATGCATTACAACCTCCTAGGTTCTTAGGAAGAACTTGATACATATGCAGCTAACAAATTGTTATGAACAAATAATCTATTAAATTTACATGTCACCTGACCAGGGGTGGGTTTCTCACCCCGTTCCAACCGGTTAGGTTGGAACGGGGCCGGTGGCGTCCTCGTGCACGTGCGTGGTGCACGCATGTGTACTAGCGTCTGCGCGATGCTCCAGCTGCTCCTGGAGGATCGCGCAGGCGCTGTATGCGTCCTGCGCATTTGTGGAAGCACAGAACTCATCAAAACCGGGTAAGGACCACAGGCGGGCAGGCGGGCCGTTCGCCGTTCCCGGAAGTTACTTACTTCCGGGTTCGCCGACCAACCGGTTTGCAGGGACCGCCACGAACCAGTTGAAAGCCACCCCTGCACCTGACTCTCAACAAACAAATCCAAAAGGGGAAAAAGTCAAAGGAGAAACTTTTTTTTTTAAAAAAAAAAAAACCTGCCATCAAATAATTTTAGAGGCTAAAATAAACTTTGTGTTCACCTTAAAACAAGGACTCCCAACGATGGTCTTCCCCAATTACAATGCGTTCCAAATGAGCTCCCTGGACTGGACAAAAGCCTACAAAGAAGAATGCCTCTCATTGTGTAAAGACCGTAGAGGAGAGCCTCTTCGCCATCTCTGAGGATTCATCAAGCTGGTGTAGGAGACAATTTTTTATCAAAATTGGTAAGCAGTGCAGACCTTGATAAGGGGAAAAGTAATATTCCTGTGACTGCCTACCAGCTTTCGGATGCCACTTTCTGCACCCATAACCATTTCCACAGATGCGATAGACATGGCTCCAAGTAGACCTTATTGCTATAATTCACTCTTGATGTTACTATGCCATCTATTGTCATGGCCAAGGATGCTCTTTCCAGGTATGGACACAGTTAATGGACAAGGTTAAGCTATCCCTGGCAACAGCAATCCTCTGAGCATGTGGTTGAAGAGCCATCTCTAAAAGACACATCTGCTGCTTCAAAGGAAGAATGACTGATTCTTTGCCTATTTGTCTTCTGATTGAGGCACCTCCATCTTGTCTAGATTGTCTGTTTATTACCCTCTATCCATTCCAGTACTGTCTCCAGTCACTAATTTAAAACATCAACAACTTTCCTGGTAATAGATGAAAAGAAGAAATAGAGCTGTGTATCATCTGCAGATTGGTGTAAATGCATCCCAAATTCTCAGATGATTCCTCCCAGCTATTTCACAAAGAGGGCGGGGATGGCTTGCTCTCCCTTTTAAGTCAATGAATTCTAGGAAACAAGAGTGTAACTGAATGAAATTGCATAGCCCTCCTTCTCTTTTGAAATGCCTTGGGTTTTGTTCCTCCCCAGAATATTATTGTGGCATAAATGTATGCTCGTTCTTCAAAGCTTGCATAACAGTGTGCCAAAATGTGCTACTTTTGCTTCAGTGCTCTTCAAAGCTCAAGTATATTGTCACATGCCACATACGAGGGTACAAACTGTATGTTAATTCTTTTGTACAATCTGAAGTTCTTACCAATTTACATTTCTGTCGCTCCATAAATCAAAACTTCACTTTGCACATTTAAACAATTTCTGGGGAGATTT